CCTCTGTTTTTAGCATCCGTCGTTTATTGCTATTATTTTGTTTCTGGTCCTTGCTGCCCCCTTCCTTCCCCCACTCCCCTCTTACCATCTCTCACCGCCGTCCTTATCATGGCCCCTACCACGCCTTTTCGCCCGTTGCTTTTTGCCCCATTGTCTTTCTTTCTTTCTCCGGCAGCAAGAGTCCGGGTGATTGAGCGATGCATCGACTCGAGATCATCCGGAGGACCATCGCGACACTTGGCCCAGGCGCGGCCGTGTGCAGCCCTCACCATCGCGGCATCAGTCACTCCGCGCTTGCTGAGTTTATGGACTGCATGGCGTACGTCGCCTTCCCTGAATGTGGCAGCTTGCCGACGAAGGTGGTGCCTGACCACATGCGACACCTTGACGGCAGTACGGTACTCCAGCGGGTTCTAACTCACATGGCTGACCTCATTCTCTCACAGGTTTGTTCTGCTTTTCTGCTTCAAGGCCACGCGAAAAGCTGTGGAAATGAGGCAGAGGTTGTAAAGTCATTAAAAGATGGCCAGGAGTCAGAACAGCAGGGCTGTGTTCTTTTCAATGACACCCAAGCAGGTGGCACGGCGGACTCTCTTTATCGGGAAGCAAAACAAACGGCGGCAGAGATTGCAGAGGCGTTTTTGACGCAGGAGTTACGACTAGTACGCTGGCTTCTTCGCACGGACGCCGAAGCTATCCTTGAGCACGATGTCGCATCCACCTCTCTCTCCGAGGTGGCTCTTTGTTACCCTGGTATACGCTGCATGCTACACCAGCGCACTGCGCATGCGTTGCACAAGCTTGGTGCTCCCAACAACCTTACGCGTCTTCTTACAGAAATGGGACATTCAGCCACCGGCATCGACATTCATCCTGCCGCCTCTATTGGTCACCATTTTTTCATTGACCATGGCACGGGTACCGTGATTGGGTCGACGTCGATCGTTGGCAACCATGTAACTATGTACCACGGGGTCACACTGGGGGTGGCTTCTTTTCCTGTGGATCGGAAAACAGGAAAGAAGATTCGGAACCTGCCGCGCCACCCCATTGTTGAGGACAGAGTGGTCCTCTACGCCAACGCGACGGTACTCGGGCGAATTACGATTGGGGAAGGCAGCGTCATCGGTGCCAACTGCCGGGTAGTAGAGAGCCTGCCCCCGAGTTCCGTCGTTACCCGCCCCAGGAAGAGAAAACCTCCCGCTGCGGGGACGGCGTGGCAAGGGGGCGAGTGGGGCGTCTGGCAGCGGCACACACACAGGGGAAGAGAGAGTGAGAAAAAATAAATGTATATGGTGCATGCCCCACAAACAGAGGTGCGCTCACAAGAAAAAAAACACGAAGCAAACAACGCCAAAAAAAAACAACAATAAAAACATTACTTGATGCCTTTTTGCCACTGTGTTTGCGTGACCTGGAAATGGAGACCAAAGTGGTAAAGCGGGGATGCATCAGCATCTCATCTTCTTTCTTTATTGCTTTCATAGTTAGTTTATTTTATCTTGCTTATTGCTATCGCCTTGCGTAGAGAAAGTCATCCAATTAAAACAGTTGGAACGACTTTTGTTAAAGTTATGTTTATAAGCCTTTGAAAAAAGGCGGAGCGAGCTGTAGTATGTGCATGTGTGCGGTTCTTTTCTTTATACGTCCACGTATGGTTGCTCTTCTTGAGAGACTGGGGATTATTTGCTGTTACCATGGTGAGTAGTCGATATGCTGTGCGGAAAGAAACGTTGCCTTCTGTAATGTACACATGACACTTGCAACATTCAGGCACTTCTACATTTTTTATTTTTCTCTGTTTTTTTTTTCTCCCATTCGCAAGGGGTCACAATATTTGGTAGTAGAAGCTGAAGACAACACGATGTTTAGCGCCACTGCCCTATGGCTCCGCGGCCAGTACAAGACACGTCTCAAGAAGCGCATGGTCGGTTTCATCCCAAAAGTGATTCCACGCAAAATAAAGAACAATATGGTGGCTCTGCGTAGTGAGGCCAATACCGGGCACATCGAGGGATACTTAAAGACGGAGGCGGAAAGGCTTGACGCCACCGGTCGCAAGGTTCAAAAGGTGCTGTGGGATCCCGTCTTGCAGAGGCACTGTTTGTTCAAGGAGACGAAAATCCGAGGGCCCTTCATGACAAAAACGGCCATCGTCAAGAAGACGGATTTCCCTATTGGGGCGGCGGGAGCGGCGGCCACGAAGTAGCGGCCCTGGCAGCGCGAGAAAAGAAGGAAAGAAAGATAATGAGCGGAGGTGTGCCCTGCGAAAAAAGGGCGACTGTCGTAGCAAGACACGTTTTGCCTCCCGAAACTTCCTCCACCGCCATCGGCGGCAACGATGACAACGACAACAGCAGCAGCAGCAACTGCTCTCTTCCCTCCCTCTCATGTGGTTCTCTCATATCTTTTATTCTTTTTCCCCTTCATGAGGTCACATCTGTGCATCCATTTCACTAAACAAACCCAAGACGGCCGCCGTAGTAGATGAACACGACGACTCAGTGAGCGTCGCCGGTCTTCGCTCGGCCAACGCACATCACGTCTCTCTGCTGGAGGAGCTGAAACGGAACGTCACACCGTTGTTTCAGTGGGCGGTAGCTCCTTCGCCATCGCGGCGGACCGCTACGTCTCACCACAGCACCCTTGTCATGGAACTGCCACTATCAACATTTCCCCGAGAACCCCAACTCCGAGGCGTTGTGAATGGCTGGGCAGTGCTCAAGGCAAGATTAGGCCCGCACTGCAAGTGTCTCTTTGAGATGCTAAAAAAAAATGCCAAACAAAAAGGAAAATCAACGAGAGATCTTTCCTGCACAAAAGCGCCTCACCAAACTTTTCACCCCAAAGGCTAAAGCACCGCAATTGAACTACCAAATCCCTGAAGCCTCTCCAAGATAACAGAACAGCAGCCATGCAGCAAACATCCATGCATCAAAATCCATTGCATATGCCCACGAATTACCAGCAACTCAGCCTCTAAACAACTAAAAAAATACTTACAGTAAAATAAGAAAAGAATTTGCCGTAATTCAGACATGTGAATCAAAAAAGAAAACAATAATTATTGCGTCCAAAACAGGATCACGTATATTAGCCCAAAAAAGTCAATATGTATGACCCACGTCAATGCATTCACGAAACACTTCACCAACTCGACACGAATGCTGACACGCTTACTTGCTTTACATCCGAAACGGTTAAAATATTGTGTGGTCATTCACCGAAGGCAGACAAATACTGCATAGAGGAGAAACAGACAACAATAAATTTTCATACTATGGGAGAAAAAATAGGATGGAGGGAGGGGAAAGCTGTACTGCGCTGCATTGCCGCCTCTGCGGTGTCGATTTTGCCCCTGTGTGTGCTCTGTCTCATGCTATGCCTCTTCTTTCTCGCGGTTTATTCTTGTGCACTGCACTTCCTTTTTCGGTCGTTAGGTAACCCCGGACACGTCTCTATGTCTCACTGCAAGTTTGAACACCCTCGCCACGGCCACCTTGGCTTCCTGCCGCGCAAGCGCAGCCGGCAGATCCGCGGTCGCGCTCGCTCCTTCCCCAAGGACGACCCCTCGCAGAAGCCGCACCTCACCAGCTTCATGGTGTTCAAGGCCGGCATGACGCACATTGTGCGCGACGTCGACCGCCCTGGCTCCAAGGTGAACAAGAAGGAGGTTGTGGAGCCGGTGACGATCCTGGAGGCGCCACCGATGGTGGTGGTGGGCATCGTCGGCTACCGCCAGACGCCTGTGGGGCAC